CTTCAACACAAAATTAATGGCTACATCCTGTCTTAGACAAGAGAAGAAAGCAAAATAATAACAAAAGCCACTCAAATAGGACACAGTGGAAAGCCAAGGAAATAAAACTAAAAAGTGAACTGTCCCGACCTGCGGAACTTCAACGGGTTCCTAAAGAAGAAGAATGGAAGGAATGAGGGGGAAGGGACAAGGGACACAGGAATGAAGGCCAAGTCTGTTCGTCTGATCAAAGCCTCGTTTATTAGAAAATTTTTACCCAACTTATACAGGGAGAAGGCAGGAAAGGGGGAAGGTTAATTTACTGCTGCAGGAGATAGGAAGAGAGCTTTCATGGGTTAAATATTGTACTTGCAAGATACCATAAGGATGTTTTCTTAAGATATCTTACAGATGCTCTAACAAACGGATGTCCTCACAATCTATCACCCATGATTTAGGGTCTTAGATAACTCTTTACTAAATAGCTTTAGGTCTCCACTAAATGACCTTTGCTCACTACTTGGCTTTGGCTTCAGTAAATACCTTTGTCTCCACTAGATAGCTTTGGCTCACGAATTGACTTTGGCTTCAGTAGATAGCTTTGGCTCCCGGCAGTGAACAAAAAGTTCTGACAACTTCCTGTTAAGAGCTGACCAGCACTACTGCTTCAAAACAGGGGACAGTGGTCAGTGTCAGATTTGGTGCAGTGCCCTCTCACAAGCTGTTCAGTCTCTGAACAGCCCTCCTCTTTTTCAATATACAGGGTCTCTTCCATCCCAGTTTGACCTTGACGCTGAGGATGACCCTGAACTCCTGACCTCCTGCCTCCCAAATACTTAGATTACAGGCAGGTACCACCATATGTATGTAGAGCTGGGGGTGAACCCAGGGCTTCTTGCTTGCTGGGCAAGTACTCACCAAGCTGCATCTCCAGTCCCTAAACAGACTTCTTCAACTTTTCTATTCATGGTCTCTTTCACTCAAGAGCAGTTCTTTTTTTGTAGGGGAAGATAGTTTATTCTGGAGCCAAATATAGATGGCCCAGGAAAACAGATTTAGGTTACCCCAAATTCCATGTTCCGATGTGGCAGTGGTTTGATGCACTTTTTATAGCAAGCGACAAAGTCATAAAGCACTTTTCAAATACACTAGTGGAAACAGCAGGTAGGCAGGTCAGAGCAATGGGGGAAACCTCCGCCAAAGGCCTCACATGCTGTCTGAGAACATTCTTAGCCTTTGGTTGGAAGATGCTGGGTTCTATACACTGATCTGACGATTCTGTGAAGCCTGGTTATACGGCCATTCGTTAATAACCTTTTAGAGAGCTCAGGTGATGAGATTAGCCTATGGGATCATTTGCCCTCCCACAACTGGGAAAGTGATTCAGGTCCTTTCCTTTTCAGGTGGCTGACCAGGAGGGAGAGGTGAACCCCACTATCCTCCAGACCTGCTAATATCTACCCAGTCATCTACCAAAGCTGGGACCCACTAAGCATGCTCAAGACTGGGAATATCCACCCCATATGTGCTGCCAATTCAAAGCCCCCAGTTCAAATTTCAGTGTCCTCTGAGGATAGACTTGGGGAAGCATGAAGGTTTACATCCACTCCCTTAAGGTTTCCACACCTACACATTTTGTTCTGCCGAGCTTACTTCCGCAAATCCCAGGTTTTCCCAGTTATGGGGTTCCTATTTTTGGGTACTTACAAAAAAAAATAGTCTTCCCCATTTTTGGCCAGAGGTTCCTTATGGTATAACCAGCCTGCACACATGATAACCTCAGCTGTGACCAGGATAGAGAAGACACGTGAGTGAACGATATACTTTCTCCCTGTTCTGGCATCAAAACATGGAGTATCTCTATTCATTAATTCATTCGTTCATCCATTCATTCACTTTAAGAGCACACTAGGCACCCTGGGACTGGGGGTACGGTGGGGGTGTCCAAGTCAGATAAAACATGGCCAGAACATCTCCAGAATGGATTTAATTACTGCCAAGGGGTGTCAAAGAAAAAGGAATCCAGTGTGGGGAGACCGGGCAGATCATGGACTGAGCGCTAGAAGGGGCTATTCCAAGGCTGCCCATACCCACTCATCTGTCCACCACAGCCTCTTGGTCCATGAGAGAAGATTCAAGGAGAGCTGCAGGAGAGAGAGGAGACCCACTGCTGGGGTGAAGCTCTGCTCTGCATGGCCAACAGTGCTGGCTCTCTCATTTCACCTCAGGACAGGGCTCTGCTCGGAAGAGCTTCGTGCAATGAAGCAGCCCATCCAGCAAGAGGGAAAAGACAGTCCTGCTCAGGAAAACCCTAGGAGCAAGCTTAGCAAACTGCAGATAAGGGTTCCTCCACTCTAGGGGGAAGGGATCAGTCCAACACCCACTGACTATGGGAGGAAGTTAAGGTCTTTCTGACCCCATCAATAGAGTCCTGGTTTATGAACTCAGCAAGACATGGTGTAGCAAACTGAAAAAAGCAGGTGCAGGGCTGACTAAGGCTGAGTCCAACAACTCCTCAGGGCTAGGACCAGGGCCTGTTAGGATCTACAGATGGGTGGTTGGCCAACTTTTAGTCATCCCTATAAGGTTGCATTCTGTTGGGAATGTCAAGGGACTTGACAGCAAGAAGCGGTATAGGTTGCATCCTGTCTTAGTCGGTGTTCTATTGCTGTGAAGAGACACCATGACCACAGCAACTCTTACAAAAAAGAGATTAAAAGAAGGCCGGCTTACAGTTTCAGAGGTTTAGTCCATTGTCATCACAGAGGGGAGAATGGTGACATGAAGGCAGACATAATGCTGGAGACGGAGCTGAGAGTTCTGCCTTTGGATTCACAGGCAGCAGGAAGAGAGAGTGGCACTGGGCCTGGCTTGGGCTTTTGACACCTCAAAGCCCCTACCCACCCACACCCAGTGACACACTTCTTTGAAGAAGGCCACATCTACTCCAATAAGGCCACACCTCCTAGTCCTTCTCAAGTAGCTCTACTTCCTGAAAACTAAGCATTCAAATATATGAGCCTTTATGGGGCATTCTTATTCAAACCGCCACACACCTGGATGGGAACTGTCTAGACAGAAAGACCTGCTGTACTGCATGATGGAGGGTGAGAGCTCAGTGTGCCAAAGTAGAAGAAATCCCGTGTCCTAAGACAGATCATCCCATCCACCTGAAGATGCTGCCTTGGTCCCTGCCAGCCCCCGATAGACAGCACAAGTGAGTGTTTCTATACCTAAAGAGAGGACAGAAAGTTCTAGATAAGACAACTTCATCAAACCTCACCATCACAGAAAACATGTCTGGAATCCCACCAGGCTGGGCCAGGCTCAGTGGCCACAGAACTCCAGCCCATGACAATGCCATTGGCACAAGCCCAAGTCGAACCGTGGATGGTCACTGTCAGCCCATGCTGAGGAACCAGAAAGATTAACAATACTGAGCTGGAGATGTGGCTCAGTTATTTGGTGGAATGCTTGCTTAGCATGCACAAAGCCCTAGGTTTAATCCCCAGCACTCATAAACCTGGTATGGTAGTGCACATCAGTAATACATACTCAGAAGTAGTGGCAGGAGGATTAGAAGTTAATTCTCAGCTACTCGGTGAGTTCAAGACCACCCAGGGTTACATCAGACCCTATTAAAAAAAAATTAATTTTCTGTTACCATTGCTCTAGAAAGGCAGATGTTTCAAGCCCGAGGAGACAGACACTAACATGGTGGTTGGATTCAGAACTGTTTCCCAACTGCATCTGAAGAGTGGCTATGGAAACCTTCTATTCAGAAATAGAAAACAGTAGGGGATGGGAACTTTGCAGGGGGCCTCTGATGAAGCCACACTGGGAACTGAATGCTTAGCTACAAGCTCTGTGAGGTCTGGACTGTGGACACAAGTAAGATCTGTGTCTTTGTGTTACCGAAGATACAGAGTGACAACAGAAAGACTCTACCATGTGACCCGGGACTGCCTGGGGGAGGGGAGGGCAGAGTGAGTGACCAGGAAGAGCTGAGCCACCAGTGGAATGGGATCACAGATCGGTGAAGGGACAGAATCACCCGACGCCTTCACATAGTATCACAGTGGACTGACAGATCCAAGAATAAACCAAGGGTTCAGCACATAAGATCAACCTGATGTAGAATCTCCTAACATCATTCCTGATATCACTGTCCTTAGGGAGGGTCCTCCTTGGGTACGTGGAGGATGCAGTCTGTCCCCTCACTTCTTCCGGAAGCAGGCAGAGCCTGCGCATGGTCCTAGTATTGGTGATCACCACCAGCCCTGGCCCTTCCACCCTCCCCGGGTCTGTCCTGAAAGAGGAAGCAGATACTCTGCACCACAAGCCAGATGGAAAGCAGCTGGCCACGCTTGGATGCCACACCTGTGCCAGTCATAACTCCTATGAGCTTATTGCTCACTCTCAGATTCCCCTTAAGACAGCCAGCCAGCCCGCTGCAATCCCAGCTCACTGCAGAGCCAGGATCTTCTACCCAATGCTTCAAAGGAGCCTAGGCCTCATGGCTGAGTGATGGCAGAGACTTTAGGATTTTTGGGAGCTGTAGATCCAAAATCATGAAAGCCCCTGTTAATGTCTCCTAGGTCCCAGGCAGGGGGTGGGGGTGTCCTCATGAATGATGACTCCCCAAACACTTTCTGAGACCTTACCATGAGCCACATGTAGTGCTAGACAAGAGATGAAGTCCTCCGCCCCCAGTCAACAGTCACAGTCTGGCAGGGATTCCAATCATTGGAGCAGCCCAAGAGCAAGTATGAGAAAGATACTCTAAATATGAGGAAGACAAGTCCATCCTTGGCTACTCAGGCCTGTCCTGCACCTAGGTGAGACCAAGGAGAAGACAGAAATCCAAGGACCCAGACACTGAGCAACAGCCTGGCCATTGCCTGCTGGATGGTTTCTGTCCTGGGGACAAGCTAGAACATCACCCCAAACAGTGAACTTCCCAACCACCAAAAGTCACCATGCTGTAGCCTGGACATCTGAGGACAGACACACAGTATTACCTTCAGCTCCCAAGGAGTGAGCACCAGAATACATGTGTGCCCCCAACTCCATTTGATGTATCCGAAGATCTTGTGAGCAGGCATCGCTGGAGGCGAGGAGAACTCTGAAAACACACAGCAACACACTGTGCTCATGTCACTGGCCACCCACACTGAATATGCTCCAAGTCCTCCTCCCCCCAACAGCTGGCTTCCAGTTCCTGAGTATCTTGGCCTGAGCACTACCCTAGCCAATCCACCATACAGCTTCACAACTTTTCCTGCCCCCTCCCAGCCCTCCTCTGCCCTAACCCCAGTCCCGTGAAGCTCCTTTCTAGGTCCAGCCCACATCAGCACCACCATCAACTCCTCAGACTGTGAGGTAGATAGGTGCAAAACTCCTATTTCCACAAGTGTGACGGAAAATGAGAGTGTGACTCTCACAAAAGAAGGTGGCAGAGACTCAGCAGCCCACAATCCCCTGGGGAGGGCTTTCCAGGAGGAAGAAGAGGGTGAGAAAGAGGGAAGAGGAGGGGACACACAGCCCTGCCAGGTAAGGGGGCCTGCTGCCTAAGCCCTTTTGTGGTGCCCTGGTCGCCACCCCCCCAAATGTCATCCAGAAGCAGGACAGGGGCCCCAGAATCTGCTACAAGGTTGTTAGTACTTGCTGAATGTGAAAACACTTCCTGAGCTTTGAGAATATTGGAAGATGCCTAGGTAAAAGCAGAAGGGTCGGAGATTTCCTTCTAAAAGCTAGGGCTTCAGCACTAAAGATAAGAGGTAATACAAGATGACTGGACTGGAGCCAGTCATACCCACGGAGTGGGGTGTAGGAGGCGGCCCTGCACCCAGGGGAAGTGAGAGAACCAGATCTGTCCAACCCAGTGCTGCAATAGCCTCCTTCCCGGAAACTCTGTCCTGTCACCTCACCCCAAGAGAGGATGTAAGACCTGGGATCTCACAGCTCAGGAGTTCAAGATCGTGCCCTTCCCAGAAACTCCCCCAGACCACGACTCGTTGCAAAAGCAAGAGGTTTATTAACCATTGCACAATGGGGTCACCCCTGCTGGTCAGCAAAGAGTGGCACCGGGAGACAAAGGCCTGTAGGTTTTTAAAAGAAAAATTGCGGGAGATTTGAAGTTGCAGTTTTGGCAATTTAGGATTGGATGAGGAAGCTATAAAGTAAGATAATTGGTTAGTCTTAGGTGCTCAAGCTTGGCCAGTCCTGCCAAGTGTGGATGCAGCTGCAATTTAAGGTGGGGGTGGTTAGCTCATCCTTGAAGATTAGGGGCTGCAGACTTTTGGCTGCAGGTCAAAAGCTACTCAGAAGAAGTCTGGGTTAATTGCTAAGAAATGCTATCTCAAAGACAGGAGTTTTTCTTTTTGCTGAGGGAAGGTCATTGCTTGCTTGCCTTTTTTTTCTATCTGTCCTCATAGATAGGGTCACATTTTCCATTCTCTGGAAAGGTACTAAGAGGCTTTAGCTTAACCTGAACCTAAAACTCAAAACTATAGGCTTTAGAAGACATACAGGTTACAAAGTTAGTCTAACCCTTTCAAGGGATGGCCAAGACAGGCTCAGCCCAGAGGGACCTGACAACCAGAAAGGACAGTGATGAGGCATCCTCAGTCCAGCACTTCCTCAGCCCCTCGGCAGCAGAGATTCCCATGAAGGCCTAGGGCTTCGGGATGCAGTCTGTCCCCTCACTTCTTCCGGGAGAGAGCAGAGCCTGCGCACTGGTCCTAGTAAATTAGTGATCGCCACAAGCCCTGGCCCTTCCACCCTCCCCAGGTCTGTCCTGAAAGAGGAAGCAGATACTCTGCACCACAAGCCAGATGGAAAGCAGCCGGCCACGCCAGCGCTCGGATGCCTCATTGTGTAGCGTGAGGCACTCAGGGCCGTCTCAGCCTCCCTTCAGGGAACCACTGGAGACTGCCAAAGTGGGCGCACGGCTGGAGACTCCAGTCCGAGTCTCGGAGGACCCACCTGTGTTGTAAGGCCAAGGTCGCAGACTCCCGAGGCAAGCAGCCGGGGTAGTCCTCCCCACCCGCCAGAGACCCGCCCACTGCCCAGGGAACGCCCCGCCCGAAGCCCGCCCCCGCCATCCGCGCCCGCCTGGGAATCTCAAGACTCCGGTGAGCTCCGCGTCTTAAGGTTTCGGGATTTCTTCGGGGCCACTTCACCCGGAGGTGAGTCCGCTGGACCCGGGCTCAGGTGTCTATGCGTCACGCGAGGGCTGGGCCACGGCGGGGAAGCGGTAGGAGAGAGCTGGCGGCCTTAGCCGCAGCTTGTGGGATCTGGGGAACCCAGCGCTCGGCACGCGCTCGGTACCCGGGTGCCGTGTTGGTTGCCTGGGAGGTCCCCTGCAGCTATCTCCATTCCTACCATCCCCCAGCCTTTCCGGAATGTTTCCGGAGAGGCAAAGGCCCCTTGCTGAGCTTTCACTGGTTGCCCCTTACTCAACTCCACCAACGCCGGTCTGCTTGGGATACACCCTTGTAAACTAGAACGGGAGAGGCGGGGGTTGGGGGTTGTTGTCTCGAATAAGGTGGATCTTTTTGCCCAGAGACAGGACCCCTCCCCAGAGTGAGGAGCGGCAGCTCTTTGTCTTATCCAGAAATTTGCATACCAATGCTGAGTTTCCGGAGATTATGTCTGATTGCCGGCTAGCCCGGTGGACCTGAACGGACTCCCTCTGCCGGCTGCCCTCCCCTAGACACCTAGCTTTCCCTGGTGAGCCCTGTGAGTTTGAGGAGAGCTCTTGGGCCCTAGGCGGCCCTGCCCGGTTGCCTGCAGATGGTGGCTGTGGACAGACTCATCACACTGGACTGGTTTCCAACCACTGCACTCGTACCTTCACTAGTCCACCTGTGGACGATGGGTTTCCTCCGGGACCTGTTTGTGGCTGTTCCACCAGAGCTTCCTTGCTGACAGCTCAGGATCCCTTGGTTCCAAAACCTCATTGTGTATAGAAAAGACAGGAGAAGCCAGGACAGGCCCAACTGGGCTTGGCATTGAACTTGGCCACCTGGAGCTTCTGCTACCCACTACCACATGTCAGCAAGGCTCCGAACAGGAGAGGCTTAGGGCCAGTCCCGGAGGACACCACAACTTCACCTTCTACTGCACCCCCTTCCTCTTAAGAGGACCTCCCCAAGTCTGTAAGCAACCCCCTATTCCTTTGTCTCTGGAATGCCCCTCTCCCACTCAACAGATGGCATCACTCTCCTCCCCTAAAGCACCAGGGTAAGGGTACTCAAAATAGGACATTGAAACCAAACAAGCTGGTTTCTCTACCCTGTGCCAAAGGGCCTAGAAAAACCCCAAGGCCCACCTAGCTGGCTAGCGTGTTGACTGCCACGGGCAGCTCCTTGTCACTCTTCCCAGCCACAAGTAGAAAAATGGAGTTGTCTTCCGGAAATGGGTCCTGAGCCCTCACCTTGTACAGAAGGGAATGGGTGAAGCCCGGAGGCCTCTAGTCCCTTCGTCTCCACCACCAGGGAATGGCCTGCATTTGTTTCACAGGGCCCAGGGAAGGTTTAGGGTTCACACGTGCTCATTTATCTGACCACTGACCTGACCTCAGGTCAGCCAGCTCCCTAAGCCTCTGCTTCTGTGGCATTCTGAGAGTTCTTGGTTCCCTTTACTCGGCCTTGGGTGCCCCCAAGTTTGGGAAGGGTGTTAACTAGAGGGTACCATTGGAAGAATTTAGAGAAAGGTTCTGCAGGTGCCAAGGGTTGTTTCCGGTAAAAGCTCTTTTAATAATTGGCCACAAAAGCAGCGGGAGTGGGGCAGGTATTCTGAGGTAGAGGTTTGATTAGCAGCCAACAGGGAAAAGGAAAATTCTGGCTCCCACAGGTTTCAAAAGGAGGGGAGACTCTGAGATACTGCACGGTACGTAGTGTGAGCTAAGAGCGGCTGTAGCACGCGGCTGGCTTTAGGCCTCACAACTTGCTCATCTGATTGGTGAGGGGGACAGGAAGATGTCTCAGTGGCTCCCCCCAGGGCAGCAGGGAATGCATACTGTTTTCCCGCCCTGCCTGGGTCCTGAATGCTGGAACCATCTACAGAGGGCTCCCTGGGGAGGTGAAGAGTGGGCAGGCTCAGGGCCTGGTGCTATCTAAGCCGGGAGCCTGGGTGGTAGGTGGGGTTCCCTTATCCTTCAATCAGCTGCCTCTCTCCCAACAGGCTTCTTTGGCTTGTGAGCCTTCAGCAGATGTCTGTCGCTTCCAGCATGAGGGTCTTCTTGCCTGTGCTGTTGGCAGTCCTTCTCGGTGTGGAGCAAGGTATGGAGCTCTGAGACCCCAAGGGTGGCTTGGTCCTCCTCCTGACCTTCGTTCTTGTTTCCCCGGGGCAGATGCTCAGGGCTCCTCCTGAGCCAGCCCTCCTGTGAACGTCTGGCCTTCCTGCTTTCCATCCCCTAGCCAAGTGACCTAGTTCCCCTGCCTCGGTCTCAGGGTTGTGTTTAAGGAGACACTTTAGCCCCTCTTGCACCAAAGTCTAATACCACTTGTCATTGTCTTGGTTTTGTCTCTGGTGTACGGCTGAGCATGTTGTAGTTGCTCAGCATCAGCAGAGGCTTGGGTATCAAAGGCCCCACTGCAAAGGCACCTGCCCTGGAAGGCTTTCCCCAGGGAGCTGGCATGTGTCACCTATAGCATGTCCCTTTTGCAGCCCATTCCCTGATATGCTTTTCGTGCAACAATCAGAAGAGCAACTGGAAATGTCTGTGGCCAACGTCATGCGAGAGCACAGACAATTACTGTGTCACGGTATCGGCTGCTGCGGGCATTGGTGAGTTAACCAGCCAACTCCTTGACCCAGATCAATGGGGCTTTCCCCATCTCCTGCTGCCCGTGTATGTCTGTCCCCTCAACCTCGCTTTCCATACAGGGAATCTTGACCTTGGCTACACGCTGAGTAAGGGCTGCGCCTCGATGTGCCCCAAGGAGAACGTCAATATCAACCTCGGTGTGGCGTCCATGAGTACCTACTGCTGCGAACACTCCTTCTGCAATATCAGCACCGCTGGCCTTGGGCTTCGTGCCAGTATCCCACTACTGGGCCTTGGGATCCTGCTCAGCTTGTTAACTCTGCTGCAGCTGGACCCCTGAGCGCCCCCGTGTATTCCCCCGTGTTTCCCCAGCTCAGGAAGAAAGGTCCTTTTAGGTCCCAGGGGACCCCAGGAGCCTTCGGCACCTCCTGGGTATGTCCAGTCCCTCTCCATACTTTCTTGGCGTCAGGGCTAAGCACCAAATGCACCCACATCTGCTCGGTTGAAATGGGACTGGCTACCCTTGCTTCCAGAGCCAATCCTGTGGTCTCCCTTGGGGAACCAGGAAAGGGGTGAAACCCTCCTTGGTATTCTCAGAGGGCCAGGGCCAGGCCTAAATCCTGTGGACACATTGACAAGAATATCTAACCAAAATGAATGTACACCAGTGTGCTCAGTCGAATGAAACTACTTGGATTCTGGGGTGGTCAAAGGGGACCTGGAATACATTAGAGCAGAAGGCCTGTGTTTCCAACAGAAAACCCTTTCCCCTGGCATTACTGTGCCCATGTTGTGCTTGATTCAGGAGGCTGCGAAGGCTCCCACCCACAGACCCAGTTGAGTCCCTCCTTGCCCTCTCTGCCCATGCTGGCTTCCCACTGCTCCTCTAGTGCCTCAAATAAACCATTCACACCCATTCCATCTCTGTCCTTCCTCCTTGCAGAGTCCTTCTTCCCCTCTAGTCCCTAGGAACCTGAGGATCCTGCAAGCCCACAGCTCTGCATAAGAGATCCTGAAGGACCTCGCATACACTCACAGTATAGTGATAGGTTCCTTTAATGCCATCAAGGCAGAAGTGGACACATATCAATCAGGCCAGCCTGATGTGCATAGCAGATTCCAGGGATTCCGGCCCATTTAGTGAGAAGAGCCTGAGAGGAAGGAGGAGAAGGGAAGGAAACAAGAGAGCCTGAAAGTGTGCTGTCCCAGGCTGTAAGTTATCTGAGAGGTACAGTTACCCATAAAGGCGGGCCCACCAGGCCTGTCACACATTCCTAAGCTGTCGCCTGCACCAGGTACTTCAGAGGTGGCCTGCTGTGTGCCACCTGCCCTTCACAAACCATACTGTGGTTCGAGCCATGGAAGTGGGCTCCAGGCAAGTGATATAACTGGCTTTAATTTTTTTTTCTTCTTTTGGTTTGATGTGCCCTCAAGCGCTTGTGCACGTGCACACTTTTCTTTTTCCGACCCTTTAAGACAAGGTCTTACTATGTTAGACTAGCCACCTCAAACCTGCAGTGACCCTGCCCCTACCTCTTGAGTGCTGGAATTAAAGGCATGCGCCAACACAGCTGACGCTAAGACTTTTTTGTTTCTGAGGCAGGGTCTCACTTAAATTCTTGGGCTTACAGGCAGTTGCTACTACACCTGGCATAATGGGGTTCACTGCTGAGTGTTGAGGGACAAGGACTAATAGAGACATATTTGAAGCAACCCTTCTTAGGTCTGGGTGACCGAGGACGGCTATTTCTCAGATTTTTCCAAGTGTGGAATGGTGGTTCCTGGCTATGATCTCAGTGTGTGAGGGATACTGCCCAATGGGGGTCAGACATGGGGACAGAGCAAGGGGCTCAGAGTAGACTTGTGAAATCTGTGAAGGCAGCGGCTTCGTCAGTGCCATGATTCTCAAGACTGTGACTCCCATGACCTAAACCCTGTAGGTCTAGAAAGGAACTAGCCTCATACCAGGTGGGCTCTGCCCAGGCTCATACTGAGAATGGACAAGCCCCGGGGAAAGCAAATAAGGGGTCTCTGAGACTCAGGACAAAGCTGCTTTGTTTCTTGACTATCGAAGGGCGGTAGAGAAACGTGGGAGTCAAGTCTTCTGCGAGAAGCTTGGGCTGCCGCCATGTAGACAGTATCCACCATGGTGCTCATGACAGATCTAGGTAACCTTCCTAGACACACTGGCCTGTGATCCTGGCAGATCTAACTACCAAAAGCAGAGTGGGGACCCCGGGTTAGACTTCTGGAACATAGGAGTCAGAAAAGCACCAGGCAGTGATAAGGACATCTAACAAACTCTGGGTTCCTCCCTGCCTTGACTTGGCTCCCTCTTTGTGATAGGGGAGGTGTCAAGCTCAAAAGTTGGGGCCACTTGTGGTCTGGGACCCTTGAGCCATCCTCCACTCTATCCTGCAGCGCAGCATCCTTTCAAGGCTGAAAACTGGGACAAATGAGTGGTCTGGTCTGATTGCTCCCAGGAGAAAGGTGGGCAGAGGGAGCTAGAGTTCCGGGGATGATGTCAGGAAAAATGAGGGGTTAGGGCAGTCTTGCCTGGGCCTGGTAGGAGGAGAGAGAATTGGTGCCAGGGGTCAAGTGTCACTTCCTGAAAAAAGGAGGGAAAGTGTCCCAGATTTGAGTTTCAGTTTCCTGAAGTTCAGAGGCAAGAAAGGTCAGGAAGGCCACCGGATACCTCTCAGAGGCCTGCTCAGGCTTTGGAGTGAGGTGCTGGGTGTGGAGCCACCAGCCTCGCCCATGCTAGTTCAGATTCAGACATGATCCAACATATCTCTCTGATGGGTTCTGGTCCTGTCCTGTCTCCAGACCCTGGCCAGCCTTCCTGTTGCTGCTGCTAGTTAGTCACTGACTGTGGCTTTCCCAGTCAGGCCCTGCCAGCTGTGCCCCACCCAGCACAAGCTTATCCTCCTCCTCTCCACCCCAAGGGCTCCAGGACAGAGACATAGGACCCCTTCCCCACCTGAGCGCCCCACAACAAACTGAGCATGCTCAGGCAAAGTCAAAGTGGAAGACTAGAAAACCTTCCCTACTTGGACTTCATCTAATGAACAGAGCATGTGCAGGAAAAGCCCTCAGCATACCAAAGTAAGAAAAACACAGCGAGGGCGATGTAAAGGCCTTGTAAAGGGTTCTACACCTCACGATGGATGCTTTGGGAGCTCCTTCCTCAGCTCACTAGCCCACTCTCATTCCTGCAGGTGTGTTCCCCTTCCAGACTCCAGTTCTAATCCCAAACATGTGCCCCTGGTACAGTCTTTTGTTCTGAGACACAAGAGCCTAGAGTGTGAGCACACATGCTCACTAAAGCAAGAGAGTTTTGTTGTTGTTTTCTCCCTTTTATCACTTCTTTTAATTTAAAACTTTTATTTATTTTTTTTTATTTTCAATGAACTTTATTATTGAGAGAAGCTTGTAAATCAGGGGCCAGAGGGATGGCTCAGCATTTATGAGCTGCTGCTCTCCCAGAGGACCCAGGTGCAATTCCCAGCACCCACATGATGACTCATAACTGTCCATAACTCCAGTTCATAGGTGTGTGCCACCGTCTTCGGTTCCCTGGGGCACTTGCAGGCGTGTGGTACACAGACATGCACAAGCAAAACACACATTAAGTTAAAATAGATATTTTTTAAAAGCTTGCGAATGAACAAAAACACCAAATATTAACCATCCTCAGAGTCTGTGCAACTTAATGAACTTATACTCATTAAGTTAGAACTGGAACTTGAAATGGGAGATGTGACACTTTGCATTAAATTTTAAACTTTCAGTAGCAAACATTTTATGCGTTGTCTTAGGGTTATTGTTGCTGTGATGAACCACCATCACCAAAAGCACACTGGAGTCAGGTGCTGATGCAGAGTCCATGGAGGGAATCTGCTTACTGGTCCGCTCCTTACGGCTTTCTCAGCCTGCTTTCTTAAGGGTCCCAGGACCAGCCCAGGGATGGCACCACCACCCCCACACAGTGGGCTGGGCCCTCCCCCATCCATCACTAATTCAGAAAATGCCCCACAGGCTTGTCTTCAGCATAATCTTAATGGAGGCTTTTTGTTTGTTTGTCTGTTTTGGTTTGGTTTAGTTTTTTGAGACAAGGTTTCTCTGTGTAGCCCTGGATGTCTTGAACTTACTTTGTAGACCAAGCTGGCTTCAGACTCAGATCTGCCTGCCTCTGCCTCCTAGAGTACTGGGATTAAAGGCTTGTGCCACCACTCCCAATTATAGTGGCATTTTCTTAATTGAGGTTCCCTCTTCTCAGATGACTTAGTGTGTGTCAAGTTGACATGAAGCTAGCCAGCACATGCCTTTACCCACTTAAAAAAAAAAAAAAAAAAAACTCTCCCTTTCTCTCACCGCTCTTATTTTGGATATCCGCCAATGCTCAAGCTTGCTCTCCCTGACACTACAGCTGTTTCTCTGACCTCCATGCCTAACTTTAAAGGTGTTAACAGCACTTAGGGTTGCAGCTAGTGTCTCAAGGTAGTTTGGCCACCCATCCTCGATAAGCAAGTTAAAAGAGCCAAAGCTGCCACATTGAGAAGAGGGTCAAAGAGATCCAGTGGCTAGACCTCACTAAACCCACCTTTGGGGTATAACCTGGGAGTAAGGTTTAAACAGAAGACAAGAGATACACTGTCCAGCCAAGGTGTGGCCTCCCTCCCCCAGCTCCAAGTCTGCAATGTCTCACAAGTTAGAAATCCTTCCCCAGGGGACAGGTTCTTCCTCCTATTGCCCCTAGCCTTTTGTTGTTCCAGCAGGAAGTTTCTAAGGAAATTCCAGTTTCTTGGGACCCTTTGTTCCAGAAGTCCACCAGCCCAAGAGAGGAGCATAAATAAATTTCTCCCAGGCAGGCAAGGTTCCAAAGGACCTATTTGCCAGTCAGGTCAAGCCTTCCTCTCAAACCTTAATTAAATTAATGGTCCTTGAGAGCTTCCTGCTTTCCTTCCAAGTCTGCTCCACTCCCTCCACACACCTGCCCCTGCAAAGAACTCTGAAGGTCTTCAGCCTACTGCATCACACCAGGTGGCCACAGCAGCTGGGGCCACTTGCATCTGGAGGCCCTGGGAACCTCCCTCTTTCCTTCTTCCCCTTCCCCCAAGTTCTCATGCCAACTGGAAACTCTGCCAACACAGAGCACCCCCAGGCAGCTCTTAGGCCTCAGATGGCTGGCTGGGACACAGTCTCATTTGGAAGGGCAGCCTGACTGTGGGTGGGCTTCTGAGCACACCCAGGAACCCGTTCTGTATTCTGAGGACCAAGGCTGCAGCCCAGACCACTGGAGAAATTTGGAAGATGGAAGACAGAATTGTTGGACCAAAAGCCTCAGGCATCTGCCCAGCAAGTGGAAAGGCTCCGTGGGTGGGGGCTGGAGGGAGTCTGCTCAAGGGCAAGGGTCTGGGAGATGGGCACTCCTTGTGGCACGTGGCTGTGGTCTCTTGTGCATGGTTAGCACTAGAGCTGGGCGGGCCACCCGTACCCTCTTCCCTTATCAGCTGAGGCCATCCTGTCCCTTTAACTGATCAACAGACACAATCAGGGACAGGAGGCAGACCAACCCAATCCCAAGAGGACAGCCAGGAGGGAGTGCTTCCAAACCTGTCTCCAGGCAGGGCCGCATGCGCCCCTAGTGGCAGAAGCTTTCACAACAGTCAGAGCGCATTTCAGCTTTCAAGTCAACGGAAGCAGGCTCCCCCACCCCCCATCCTACCCAATCCCCCACCCCCAGTACTTTGGACGAAGACACCCCGTAGAAAGCGCACACTGAGGGCTATCACACTCACTAACGTCACTGACCTTCACTGTAAGCAAGAGGAGGATGCCCCGTACATATTTCCCGTACAAGCCATGGAGATCTCCAGGACCCCTTGGGCACCGAGTGCTTCAGGGAAGACTTAG